CCCCGCATCTGTTGCAACCCAACTCAAGACGCGAACAACTGTTTGGTGTTCCGCGACCCACAACTTCTAATGTGGCCGAAGAAATGTTTGACTCATTGCCCACGAGATTGGGATTAAGTAACAGAAACTTTGGTACAACTGAAGCAACCGGAAGCTCACCAATGGATTCAATTAATAACGAAGTCCGAGAAACACCTCAATCGAGTGCAGCATTCGATTCCATTCCACTGAATATGTCATCGACTCCTTCTGTTAGTCCGCGACCACAATCAGTGATCGCCGAAACACAGAGAGGCCCTATAATTGTGCCCGTAATGAGTGCGTCCACTAAACCAAGTGTTATAGTATTGGCCGGTTCTATAAAGCACTCCCAAAATACAAACACCAGTTCTGGTTCTCAACCGCTAAGCGCTCAGCCGAGCGGTTCATCAGTGGTTCGGGAGAGCGCCGAAAGAGCGCATCAATTGCCAAACAGAGGACTACAACTGAATGGAAATATGGCTCAACACGACAACCTCTTGGGCCGATGGAGACTCACATTAGAGCTGTTTGGACGAGTGTTTGTGGACGACGTGGGCGCAGAACCCGGTTCTATAATCGGAGATTTGGGTGGATTTCCAGTCAAAGAATCAAAGTTCAGACGGGAAATGGAAAGACTCCGCAATTCACAGCAACGAGACATTAATTTCTCGAAACTAGACAGAGATCGCAGTGCTTTGATTCAGCAAACGTTCAAAGAGTTGAACACAATGTATAACAATTTCAGTCGCCGTATGTCTGTCGGGACACCACTTCTCACTGTCTCTCGAGTCAAAGTAACCTTTAAGGACGAACCGGGAGAGGGCAGTGGTGTGGCCCGTAGTTTCTATTCGGCATTTTGTGAGGCCATACTATCAAATGAAAAACTCCCGAGTCTTGAGTCGTGTCACGCGTCCAACCGTTCTCTTCAGTATAATTTGATCCAACGATTGAAGAGCAGAGAGAGGGAGAGAGAACAGGCGCGTAGAGCTTATCAGGCGAGTCGGTCGTCACGCGATCACACCTCTGGCACCAATTCACGCGACAGAGCTGACAGAGAAGTGTTCACTCATCTCCGTTACGAAGCGCCGCCTTTTGTGATGCCCGGAGACCAAACCGCCCAACAGTCACAACAGGGCGTTAATAATTCAGTTAATTTGAATGAGTTGTTGAGTCCTCACAGACAACAGTTAGGGATGAGACTCTATCCCAGAGTTCATCAATTGAGGCCATCGCTGGCCAGTAAGATAACCGGCATGTTATTAGAGTTGACTCCCGCACAGCTCTTGACATTGTTTGCGTCCGAAGACACACTTAGGGCTAAAGTGGACGAAGCGGTCGATATTATACATTGAGGCCATCGCTGGCCAGTAAGATAACCGGCATGTTATTAGAGTTGACTCCCGCACAGCTCTTGACATTGTTTGCGTCCGAAGACACACTTAGGGCTAAAGTGGACGAAGCGGTCGATATTATACTATCGCACGGAAGGGACACGACGTCTGACAATCTCTTTGAGTTAGATATGTTTAATTTGACCCGAAATTCACAACCGGTGGCCAATACGGGCGCCAAAACGACCACCAGTTGTAGCAGTTCTGCGCGACCTCTGGACGTGGATATGGAGGAGGAGGACGAGGAGGACAACGCGCCGCTCTTCTATCAACCGGGAAAGAGAGGCTTCTATTCTCCCCGACAGGCGAAGTGTTCGGCAGAAAGGATTAACGCCTTCCGAAATGTGGGCCGAATTATGGGTTTATGTTTACTGCAGAACGAGTTGTGTCCACTCAATCTGAATCGACACGTCTATAAACACATTCTTCGGCGAACCATTTCATGGCATGATTTGGCGTTTTTCGATCCCGTGCTCTACGAGTCGTTGCGGCAACTCATTGTCGACACCGAATCCGGCAATGACTCCATGTTTGCTGATCTCGACCTCAGGTTTTCGGTTGATCTGTGCGCCGAAGAGGGCGGCGGAACCTTTGAACTCATCCCCAATGGGCGCAACATTGAAGTTACCACTCAAACCATTTATGATTACGTCAGACGTTATGCTCAGTACAGAATGATTCGCTCTCAAGAACGAGCCCTTCAAGTAATTGATCCACAATTCACGCATTTTATAACATACCTAAATATCTAATCAATTGTATTGTTTCACATCACAGGCCTTACGACAGGGAGTGTATGACGTGTTGCCCACCAATGCATTGGAAGGACTCACTGTAAATCATAATCATTTCTTTCAAACATTTAATTTTGTATTAATTTTGACATATAATTAAAAGGCTGAAGATTTTCGTCTACTTTTGAACGGAATATCTGACATAAATATCCAATTATTAATAAGTTATGTCACTTTCAATGATGGTATGTTTTCAATGCAATCATTATTACACATTTAGTGTTTAACTAAATGTTTGAAAATCATATACAGAAAGCGGTGATGGAAGCGAACACTTGTCTTATTTCAAGCGATGGTTTTGGTCTGTAGTCGAAAAGATGACAAATCATGAGAAACAAGATTTGATATACTTTTGGACCGGAAGTCCCTCATTGCCGGCCAGTGAAGAAGGTTTCCAACCGATGCCCAGTATAACAATCCGACCGCGCGATGACTTGCATTTGGCCACAGCTAACACGTGAGTCTAACCTCTTATATGGTGTCCATTATTAACCCTCGACTCCCTCTTTCGTTTAGTTGTATATCCCGTCTATATATTCCTCTTTATTCATCGAAAGCCATATTAAGACAAAAGCTTTTGATGGCAATCAAAACCAAGAATTTTGGATTCGTTTGAATGTGATGTCAAGTCAAGAGCTAATCTTATGAATCGATTGAAAACATTGATTACGAATGTATTTGTGATTTAAATTTATAATTATGTTTCGCTATATTTAATGAAATAATTATTCTTTCATTAGTTTTTAATAAATAATTTGTTTTTGAAATGAAGTAATGATTACTTTTGTTATTAGAGAAGTGATTGGCATCAGTATTGC